TAAAAAAAAAGTCAGTTTCAATTAAAGTGAGGTTTTGTGGAAAGATTATGAACAAAGAATATCTTACCTGTTGTAGATGGATCTTTGAACAGCCTCAGTTTGGATAAGTCAAGACCAGATTTGGTTTCTGTTGTCTTAAAGCAACTCCAGTGTCCCAAATTGTTTAGCGATTAATACAAGCCGTATTTTGTAAACCTTGATATGATAATTAGTTCTGTGTTGCATGATTATTCTAGAATAAATGTTATTTTTATGCAGGAAATGCCCCAGGCTGTACTGAAAGTGCTACTTCTAGCTACTGCTAAACACTTGGCAGCATAATGGTTTATTAAATAGCGGTGAGAGACAACAGCTTTAACTGAGCCACCGTGCCGCCGTTGATGGTTCATGTGTCCCCAATTAAAAAATTTGTAAACAAAATTTGTGAAATGTTGCCACAAACAGAAACAGCCGACGTGACTGAAAGCAGATGAAACTTACTGTCCATATTTACCTGCACATATTACTTCTAACCTAACGGAGTTCATTCGTGTGGTTTGTTTTGTTTACATTAAGTGCGTACCCGCTTTTTAGAATTGCATATTAATGTGTTTGAAAAGCCACTGGAGTGAACTCTTTCAAAATGCACCTTTTAGATGAAGTAAAAAAAAATCTTGTTTTTTGTGTTTAACTTCATACTTTACCAAAAGTACATTTTAACTATATTTAAAGAGCTATCTGCAACAGGTAAGATAGTCACTGTTCACAGGTCCCCACTTCTAAAGCTCTGAGCTGTTACTATAAATCAAAAATAGTTATTGATTTATCAAAATAATCTCACCATGTGGCTGTTTTTGGAGCTTGTGCTCATCTTTAAATCAAAAGATTCAATTTGATGACTCACTGTTTCCATGTGATCATTTTTCAAACCGACAGGTTTCTTCCTGCCAAAGCTTCTCCACAAACACACTACGTTAGGAGTATTTCCATACAAGCCGTAGAAAAATCCACAAACCATCATCACTTTTTTTTCTTTCTTCCCACATCTGCCAACTACATCACAGGAGTAGTTTCCTCAGGTTTTTCCTCGTCCCGGTGCCATAACTGCAGACAATGGATGTTGGATTTTTGTTATCTGGCTGATATTTCGTGTCTGAGTGATCTCTGCAGGGAGAGCGGACGTATGAGTCACGCTGAACTCATGTTTCGTGAAGCTGACTGATGGAAAAATCAGCTGCAGAAGAAAGAGGGTGTCTTCTTAAACTGGAAGAAAAAACTTGCAGCAAATTAGCTGAGGCTCGGGTGAAAAGTGAACATTCCCCTGCACCTCCCAGCTCGCGGTTACTGGTCTTTTTTTTTTTTTTTTTTTTTTAAACCACACTTCTCTTCCAGTAAATTTCAAGCTCTCCCGACATGCAAAGTTTCAAGTCTCTCAAACCTCAACAGGAAAAATTGTTCCCAGTTCAGCAGCTCAGCCAGACGAGTCTGGACCGACGTTTTTATCGAGTCGGCACAGGAGGCCGGAGGTGGCCGTCTCTTACCGGCTGCTAAACGTGTAAAATAACCAAAACGGTTCAAACCAGAGTCCCTGCAAACATTCGATTAGGTTGCTGTCTGTTGTTTCATGTTGGCTGCTTAACAGACTTTGTATGAAATTGCAGTTTTTGTTTTTTTTTATTAGATAAACTAACTCTTGTCAAAATCATTCATATATCACAACACATTAATGTAACGCTCATATTTTATTGCAAAACAAAGGAAAAATAAAGGAAAAATACCAACAAAGTCATTTTTAGTTTTTATTGGCGTCAATGGGGCCAGGGCACATTTTCTTATTATTTTTTAGTAATTTCTTCTTGTTTTTTTACACTGTTTTATAATGTAGCATGTTTTTCACTGCGGTTTATATCACTTCTTTTTTTTAACTTTTCATTTTATATGCATTTTTATGCTTTTATACGAATGTTTATTGTCATGTGTACCTGATTTGTGGTTTTTGTTTAAAACAGGTCTCTCTTAAATTAAATGAGTCCTCGTGACTCAATGAGACTAACCTGTAATAAATAAAGGTTGAACGAGTTTTGGGGGCTTCTGGTGCAAAAAGTGCCCTTTTGTATTTACATTGTGTAAGACGAGAAAATATTGTTCGTTTTGATGTAAAAATGATGCCTGAAGAGTTAAAACTGTTGACATTGTAGTACATTATATATTTATAAGTAATTTATTTTCCAGCTTCTGTCCATTTCATCAGAGATTTGTTTTCAAGACTAAAAATTCAGCAAAACGTTGTATTTAATTGCCATTTAATATCTGAAAAACGGAGTTATTGCCATTGAGATATTGCATCTATAATTGTCATAAATCCTTCCTGCACACGTAAACGTGACACAAATCATGTCGTCACATATAACCTAGAATAGTATTGCAATAAGATCCCCGACTCGTAGTAAAGCTTTATTTTCTTTAACAGCTAAAATGTTAAATTTAGCGCGGTACAGTACGCCTCAGCTCAATGAAGCTTGTTTGTTTATCTTTTAAATTATATTTATTTAAAAAAAATATATGCGTATATCCATATAACCTTGTAGTCTTATATAAGGACACGGACATAAATAAAATATTTTATGTTATATATTATAATATTATATATATATATATATATATATATATATATATATATATATTTTTTTTTTTTTTTTTTTGTCTTTAGGGGGGATAGTTTTACTTTCATAAGAATATTTTAAATATCAAATACTTTTTTGCCCCCTTAGGCCTCCCGTTGGGGACGCACCCCTGTCTATTGGTTAGGATAAATTACACTGTATGAAAAAATTAATAATTTTCAACATTTTTAAGTTAAAATAATGCCTAATTCAAAAAAAAAAAAACTGTTGGCAAAGACACAGATTTTGTAAATGCTCTTTTTTTTCCCAGCTCCACTTCATTTAAACCGAGTTCAGTTTTCCAACGATCGTTAATTATTTCTGTTTCCACTTGTTTCTATTGTATTTCATGTCAAACTGTAATCCAGTCCCGGCCCATGTTTTTCCACTCGGCTGCAGTAAAAAGTCTCAAATGCAGCACAAAAACAGCTTGTTTACATCCGATGTTTGCACTTTTGTCCAGAATGCAGACAGATTTAAACACAGCCGCTTGAATACATGTATTTGTTCACATTCATTTTCCCTTTAAAGCTTTTATTTCTTTATTTAGTCTATTTTTTTTGGTATTGTTTTTAAAGAACAGAGTAATGATACGCGTGTAAAGAAACTGGGAAGACCTGTAATTTACACAACTTTGACTCTGATGTTGGTCATTGCAGCTTCAGGAGTATCAAAATTAAAACTTTGTTTTGCAATTAAAGTTTTATGACATTATCAGTTTTAATCAGCTTTTTTAGGGTAAGTTTGAACATGTATTCTTAAAAAATCTTTTGCTTTTAGCTGTTATATTGTGGAGGTTTTTTTTTTTAGCTGTTTGGTGTATAAGAAGACAGTTTGGTCTTTATTATGTCTCATGACAAGATTAAATCATAAAACCCTTTTTTTCCTCCTCTTTGCTGTCACTCATCTGATTTACCTGCTGTGTGAAGCTCACAGCTGCCACCTGCTGTTTACAGCTGAAACAGGTAAAAAGGTTTCAGATCCTTGTCTCAGCAGGTCTGAGGACTGCTCAGACCCCAGAGCTAACGCATCAGATTATTTTCAAGGTTCGTGCTGATCATTAAAAAGCCGGATCACAGATCAGTTCAAAGGGCTTTGGAGAAAAAGAGCGTCTGCTGCTTTCTCCTCTGAAAGTGATTCATGTTCATGAGCTGCTGCCTTTGGAGGAAGTGACCTCATGTCTGACTGCTGCAGTCTTTCAGAGTCCGTCAGCTCTTTTCTACAACTTTGGCTCACCGACGGTTTTAACAGCACTGAAAAGAGAGTCTGGGCCTCCTCGACTCAAACACTCAGAACGTCTTTATTAGTTCAAGTCAATTTTATTATCATTCGCATCACATGTGGTACAAGAGGTGGAATGAAATTGTGTACTCAAGAGTCCCAGTTACACCCAACAATAGCAAACCTATAAAGTGAGCAGATGGGTATGAATGAATACAGAAGCATGAGATCAGCAGCATGGATGATCAGCAGCACAGATTAGCTCTTATTCTTGTTTATTTCTTCTTATTTACATGTGGAAATATAGTAACCCGGCAGCACAACTCCACTACTTTAGATGATCTTTTGATTGAACGTTTCGTGCCGCTCGAGGTTCTCTTTTAAATTCCACTTCACTTACCTGAAATGCTAACCAAACACCTAGCATTAGCATGCTGACAGTTGATGGCGCGCCATCTGTTTACAGCAGGTGTTGAGCGGTATTGTTTTATTTTTAACAAACTTCTTTTTTCTTATTGAGAAGTCATCTTAATTCGATTAACATTATCATACCCACTTGTTGTTTTCAGTGTAAGTGATGGTGGCTCATTAGCGCCAGGTCCTGCATAAATTAAATTCCTGTGCATGTGAGCGGGAAAAAAGCAACAAGCACGACTCCAAATGTGATTGGTTGATGAAGCTTTCCAAACCTATACATCATTACATCGAAACAGGGTAACATGTGCTGGTACTTTTATTGGTGTATTGAGTTACCCATACGATTGTATAGAAAACCTCCTAAAACTGTTTTTTTTAAATAGGCTATCTTGTAAACAACTTGAAAGAAAATTATTAAAACTCCCATAAAGAGATCTTCAAAGTTCCTCTACAGCTGATTAGTATTTTGTCTCAAGTTTATTCAAAATGGCCACCACAGCTAAGCTGTCAAACACAAAACTGGTTGGATATTTGTCAGACGTTGAGCCGTAATTTCCTTTGGTGTGTTTTGAAGCCATCAGTGACCCAAAGACACACGGTTGCTGCTAACAGAGAATGGTTCGATTTTCTCAAAATGTCCTCCGTTTACAAATGCAAACTCATTTTTAATGGTTTTAGTCACAAAACCTTTAAAACATCCCTCGTTTCTTCTTGTTGCAGAAGGCGAGCTGAGCTGCTCATCAGACGGTCAGACGTACATGAACAATGACATCTGGAAGCCGGACCCCTGCCGGATCTGCGTTTGTGACGGCGGTAAAGTCCTCTGCGATGAAATCAGCTGCAACGAGCTGACCAACTGTGAGAAGGTGTACATCCCGGAGGGCGAGTGCTGCCCGATGTGTCAGGGAGATTCGTCCAGCGGTGGAGGTGGAGGTGGAGGTGGCGGCGGCGGCGGTGGGACAGATGATTTCGGTGAGTCACCAGCAGCTACTTTCAATCCCGACTAGAAGCCATTTCTACATAGAAATCCTCAACTAACAGGAATAACCACTGCCACATTCATCAGAGTAGGAGTTTATTATCGGAGGGCAATCGTGTAAATGTCTGGATGTGTGTAAACAAGTTATTTTGAGAACCAGAGGACAGATTTTAAAGAAACTCTCAGAAAGTAATCACTGGATGTCCATCTTGTGGAAAAAAAACTTGATTCAAGATAGCCACCACCGCTAATCAGTCTTAGCAAACACAAAAATGTCTCTAACCCAGATATTTGTCTAACAATTGGTATGGTAGTAGCTGAGAGTCATTCCCAACACATATTCACATGAGATCTTTGCTTACAGCTCCGGGCGACAGTCATTCCTACGAGGATTTTGATCTCACCCAGTCTGTTAGCTCTTGTAGTATTTGTTGGAGATGACTTTTAGCCACTGCCACACCAAATTGGGGAGGGGGGTCATCTGGGAGTCCTCCCCAGAAAGTTCTGAATAAAGTAGATGCCATTTCCTACATTATTTTGTATTCTAACAGTTTTTTTTAACATCTAAGTTTACCTATATAAGTAAACACTTTATTCAATAACTATTTGAGAGCAACAAGCAGTAGTCTGACCAACAGCTCTCCTTGTGTGAATAGAGCATGCTTCCCCCACCCCACACACACACACATACACACGCATACACACCAACATCAAGTACTATCTCCATTGCCACTGCCATTGTGCTTCAATTCTTGGTTGTTTAGTTGTACAATGAGAAGACTGTTTTTTTTTTAATGAAAGTAAATTGGACTATCTATTTGACATTTTGATCGCTGTTATTTTGACAAATTGGCGCTGTTGTTTTGATGCATGACACACATCATGTAATTACCCATCAAACATTCCTCTCGTATTTTTAATAAATAATAAAAATTTTAGTAACGACCCGCTTAAACTGTAAAACTGATTTGCAATTTTGTTGTGATGTTTATATTTTTGTGTTTTTTATTAAATTGTCCATTATTGTACTTGTTTGGGTGCAAACTTTTTTTTTTTAGGGTAGAAGCGGAAATGCTTACTTGAAGCATCAGCTCTGATGTGATATTAGAAAGCTCACAAATGGCTGTTATGTTTAAAATGAGTGTTTGTGTAATTATTTTCAGCTATCCAGTATAAGTTTATTTAATTAGTAGTAAGCCTGAGAGTTACTGGATCCAAGTAAACAGTTACCGGAATGCACCCTGTCAAATAAGAGAGTTCCCGAATCCTTTTGTGGCAGGATCCGGCTCAAATTAAGTCCTAGGACGCATCATTGAGACATATTGTAACTAGAGGCAGGACTAAAAGCTAGAAGTTGAAGCTACAAGTGCCATACATTGGCAGGGTGCAGTAAAAAAAATAAAACCTACCTCTCAATAAAAACCCATAGGACATTTTCCTGACAAAAAAAAAATACACTAAATAGATTTTCTAACATTGATTTTTGTTGATGCTACCTGCTGAATGTTCAATTGTCCATTTGTCTCCTTTCAATTAGCTGAGGCCTAAAGAAAAGAGTCACGTTACACTGCGATTGACAGCCTGTCAGCAAACTGGGAGGGCTTGTAGGTGGAACTTTTATTGATGCTACAACCCCGCATCCTGAATGCACAGCCTCTGGCTCCTAAAATACAACGGTTTAAAAAAAAACCCTGATATTTTGGATTCAGTTTTGAACACGGGAGGAAGCAGCAACACTTCTTTCATTTTCATTCACTTTACAGGAGCTTCCATGTTGTGTTTTTGTAACCAGAGTCTCTCTCTCTGGTAATGTTGGGTTGTAAGTCCCGCCTACTCGCGCTGCACACAATCATGGCGTCACTTCTTTTACCTTTAAGCATGAAATGACCAATTACATGAGCTCCACATTCAGTTGGTGCAAGACCTAAAACTTGTATTGGTACCATTCTGTGGGTATGCATCCACTCCAGTTATAACAAAATGTCAAAAACAAACTGAAACATATTTTGTTTTTCTTCATGCAGGTGGGGGCAAAGTTTACAAGGTAGGCAGCAGTTTCTGTTTCACCACATGCTTGTTGTGTCGTCATGTAGTGAAAATCTGAAATCTGGTTTCTCTCTGTGTTCAGGGTCAGAAGGGAGAACCTGGAGAAGTTCCACTTGTGAGTGTTTTTTTTCTTTTAGAGCTTTTTTTTATATATGGTTGAACATCGACTCTTAACTGGTGCGTTTGACGACTTCTCTGCAGGTGACGGGGATCAGAGGCCGCCCAGGACCGATGGTGAGATTTTTCATTCAGTTTTATTCGGCTGTTTGTTCACTTCGGCTAACGTAACCTTACAATCTTCTTAATCAGAGCCAAAGTGTTAGTTCAAACCTTGAACTTTGTTGTAATTCATTATTATTCCCATTTTTAAAAAAAAGACTATTTATTTTTTTTATCCAACAGGGACCTCCCGGCTCGCCTGGATTTAGAGGAGACCGTGGGCACAAAGGAAGACCTGTATGTCACATTCACGAGCCACCACAGACAAAAAGAAAATCTAAACGTCAACATAATAGAGATTTTACTGATGATCCTTTTTATTAATAATAAATAAATCATAAACTGTTTATTAGCTCACATGTCACAATATTCCATCATTCTTGTTTGAGTTCAGTCAAATCTGAGAACATAAATATTTATACTATATAATACTTTTTAGGGGCTGCGGGGCCCTCCGGGTTATGATGGTGAGCCGGGTATACCAGGTCAGCCTGGTGAGGCGGGTCCTCCAGGTCCTCCAACCCACCCAGGGGTAAGAAACATCAACAACACTAAAACTGTTCTAATATTCATGTTCAATTCTGTACCAACAGCATCTATTGTTTTTTTATTCACACGTACCATTACTGATTCATTCATTTACTTATTTATTTACCTGCAGGGTTTGGGATCCCAAATGGCTCACGGATTTGATTCAAAAACAGGACCTCAAGCCATGCTGAATGGTGCCCGGGTAAGAGGACAGGATCTGAACTGTACTTGATTTGTTTGCAGGAGAGGAAAGTGTCGCTTTAGCAGCTTAACTAGAGGAACAGTGTTTCTTTGCACTGCTCCCTTCATTAATTAGGGCTTGTTGTAATAATGCTTGAATATTAAAATGTAGATTTGATGGGGATAGTCCTTCCCCCCCTCAAACCTGAGCTCTTTACACAGCTCTGTTGGTGCCACCTCAGTAATAAGTGTTTTAGTCAAAAACACACTGGATCCACCAAGATTAAAACCAATCTGGATCCTGCATGTAAATGCTGTAAACCAACTCCAACTATGCTTTTACACACATTCTGGACTTGTCCCAAACTGCAGACCCATTGGCAATCTATTTTTGATACCTTCTCTGGGATATGTGGAAAAACTGTGCACCTGTCACCATTCTTCTCACTGTTTGGGGTGATCCTTATGGATGCATCCTTCAACAAGTACAAGAAGGATGTGATTGTTTTTGGCTCTTTTCTGGCCATGAGAATTGTTTTGTGCAGATGGAAAGACCCACATCCCCCTGCACATGAACACTAAATAAGAGAATTCATGTATCATGTATGTATATGTATTCATTTGGAAAAAAATTAGGTATACTCTAAAAAGTTCTGTTAAAAGATTTTGAGACACTTGGCAGCCTTTTGTGTCATGTGTTGAAAACGTGTCATTGCCCGTTTAAGACATTTATGAATGTGTGACTGATCTGGTGTGGGAGGGAAGAGGATCTGCAGACCACAAGGAAAATCGACACCAGGGACGGGGCATTCTATATGACGATGGTTCCCTCTGGCTCAGTCCAATAACTACCACTATTTGGAGTGAGACAGGGGTGTCCAATCCTGGTCCTTGAAGGCCCCTGTTTCCCTGCTCCTACACCTGATTTGAATCAGTGGGTGATTTACAGGCTTCTGCAGAGCATGAAAACGTAATTCAACCATTGAATCAGGTGTGTTGAAGCAGAGAAACAAATACAACGTGCACGATTGGCCTTCGAGGACCAGGTTTGGACACTTCTGGGAGTCAAAGGTAAAGAAAGCAAGAGCATGTCACTCAAGTCAAACGGTCAAAAGGTGTTTGGGGTTTTAGTAAAATCGCTCTAATCATTCAGTGACTTAAGCACTGCTTTAGGTTTGATGTTAGACTTTAGAGACTCGTCGTTAAAAGTGGACCTTCAGTTCTTTGGGTGTTTTGGATACTATCATTAGATGCTCTTCTCTAGGAAGGCTCAGCAACAGGCTGATGAATCCTCAGTGCATGATCCATAGTCAGCTGGGTATGATGATAAACATCACAATATGATCCCACACTGAACAATATCCTACCTAGACTTGATGTTTATCCTGAGCTAATTCCAAATCCCTTTAGATTGTTCCTAAACTTTTAGCCTAAATTGGGAAATTGACAAATAATTGCTGACTATGTACTCTGATTTTACACATTTGTCACCAAGGTTCTCTACCAAAACTTGAAGCTCTCTTGAAATCCAACAGTCAGTAAATTCCTCAGAAAAAAATATGTTAAATATACATATGAATTCAAATAAATTTTGTGTGTTGTTTGTTGTAGGGGGAAGCTGGAACAAGAGGACCCCCTGGGCCAAATGGATCTCCTGTAAACCTTCAGCTTTACTTTAAGATTTGATATCTGTAGTTTCTTTGCACTTCCTGTTTATCCTTTAAATGTGCCTATTTGTCCTTTAAAGGGTCAGTCTGGTCCACAAGGGCCCCCTGGAGATGTTGGTGATCCAGGACACATGGTATAAATTTATTCTGATGTAAAATGTTCAGGCCATCATGTGATTTTGCATGAATCATTAAAGAACTGATCTGAGGAGACTTGATTTTTCTTATATAGTGTATATGTGTTTTTCAGGGTTCTCCTGGACAAAGAGGACCTGAGGGCCCATCAGGAAAAGCAGGCGAAGATGTGAGGCAGTTTTTTTTTTTTTTTATGTCTTTACTCATTCAAATGTGCAGAAATTACAAAAAATTAAAACAAAACGAAACAGACACGTAGAATTTAAGACTTTCCAGTTTAATTTTAAACAGATGAGCTAACGGCTAATCTGAGCAAGACCAAGACCAAAGATGGTTGCTTTCATTTTAAAACTTTTTCTGTAGCAAAACTCTAACTGGATTTTATGAAAAGGAGAAGTCATAAACCTTTTTGATTGCTCTAAGTTTTACGCCTCAATATTAACTGTGAAGAGTACTCTTCTGCTTCTTCTTCTTCTTTTGGCTTTTCCCTCTTCAGGGGTCGCCACAGCGAGTCATCCTCCACCTCACTCTGTCCTCTGCATCCTCTGTCCTCACTCCAACTACCTTCATGTCCTCTCTAACTGCATCCATATATCTCCTCTTTGGTTTTCCTCTTTGTCTTTTTCCTGGCAGCTGCATTTCTAACATCCTTCTACCAATATACCCATGGACTCTCCTCTTGACATGTTCAAACCATCTCAGTCTGGCCTCCCTAACTTTATCTTCCAGTTGTTCAACCTGTGCTGTACCTCTGATGATCTCATTCTTAATCTCATCCAGCCTCGTCACTCCTAAGGAGAACCTCAGCATCTTCATTTCTGCCACTTCCAGTTCTGTCTCCTGTCTTTTTGTCAATGCCACTGTCTCCAGACCATACAATATAGCTGGTCTCACCACTGTCTTGGAAACTTTTCCTTTGACATTTGCTGACACCTTTTTGTCACAAATCACTCCTGAAACTTTTCTCCAATCTCCATCCACTCCATCCTGCCTGGACTCTCTTTTTCACTTCTTTACCACATTCCCCATTTTCCTGGACAGTGGACCCCAAGTACTTGAAGTCCTGCACCTTTGTGACCTCTGCTCCTTGTAGCCTCACTGTTCCACCTCCTCCCTCTCATTCACACACATGTACTCTGTCTTACTACGGCTGACTTTCATTCCTCTTCTTTCAAGTGCATACCTCCACTTCTCCAAGTTCTCTTCCACCTGTTTCCTATTCTCACTACAGATCACAATGTCATCTGCAAACACCATCGTCCATGGGGATTCCTGCCTGACCTCATCTGTTAGTTGATCCATCACCAGAGCAAACAAGGGGCTCAGAGCCAATCCTTGATGCAATCCCACTTCCGCCTTGAAGCTATCTGTCACTCCTACAGCACATCTCACCACTGTCCTGCTGTCCTCATACATGTCCTGTACCAGTCTAGCATACTTTTCTGCCACTCCAGATTTTCTCATGCAATACCACACCTCCTTTCTTGGCACTCTGTCATATGCTTTTCCTAAATCCACAAAGACACAATGGTGTTCTTTCTGACCCTCTCTGTACTTCTCCATCAGCATTCTCAAAGCAAAGATGGCATCTGTGGTGCTCTTTCTTGGCATGAAACCATACTGCTGCTCACAGATAGTCACCTCTTGTCTAAGTCTTGCTTCCACAACTCTCTCCCAGATCTTCATCGTGAGGCTCATCAACTTAATTCCCCTGTAGTTGCTACAACTCTGTACATTACCCTTGTTCTTAAATATGGGCACCAGCACACTTCTTCTCCATTCCTGAGGCATTTTCTCACCCTCATATATGCCATTGAATATTTGAGTCAAAAACCTCATTGTCATCTCTCCAAGACATTTCCAAACCTCCACTTGGATGTCATCAGGTCCTACTGCCTTCCCCTTCTTCATTATTAACTGTGAAGAGTACTCATTAGGTGCAAATAGCAGCAGCTAGCTGTAGCATTTCTGTAACATCCTGGTTCACTTCCTGCAGTAATGTTAAAAGATTTATCTTGGAAAACTTTTTTAAAATAGCCTTTGTATGAAACATTGTGAAATTTTAATGGTTGGATCTGTTGCTCTAGGCCTTGCTCAGACTTGCTGTTAGCTCGTTAATCCAGCAAAACTGTATTTATCCAAAGTGAGGTTATTTAAATAGCTATCTACAACAGGTAAGATACTAACTGTTCCTGGCTTTTTAAAAAGATCTGAAAAAATCACAATGGTTCTCAACCCTGATCCCTGAAGAACACCATCCCTCATGTTTTAGTTGTTCCTCTGGTCCAACACACCTGTTGTGAATGAAAGGGTGATTAACAGACTGTGGCTGACTTAAAGAAGTAATTAAACCACTGAATCAGGTGTGTTGGAGCAGAGAAACAAGTAAAACATTCAGGATGGTGTTCCTCAAGGACCAGGGTTGGGAACCACTGAATTTTTAGATAAATGCATTCAGAATAAATCAAACACAAAACATTCTTGGTGCGAAACAAGTAAAATGTTAAACACAATAAAAGCTGTTCTTTTAGTTACAGAATAAGAAGTTTCAGATTTTTGTGATAGGAAACTCCTACAGAAAATCAAAAACTAGCAAAACGTTGTTTTATCAGCATAAAAGTGTGTCGTTGAAAAAGTTTTGTCTTCACACAGGGAGAAGCAGGAAACGCAGGAAACTCTGGAGAAGTTGGATTTCCTGGATCATCTGTAAGCGTCTTCTGCTCTTTTACAAAATAGAAACAAAATCTCCTAATTATGTAATTTTAAAATTTACTGTAAATAATCCACATCATGTATTTCAGGGGCCGAGAGGTTTCCCTGGCACACCTGGGCCTCCTGGTCTGAAGGGTCACAGAGTGAGTATCACTGGCCTAAATGTTCAAATAAAGAAGCATCAAGATAAATCTTCTGATTTAGATTTTATTATCATTATTATTGTGCTTGTTTATGCTAATACTTCTTTCCAAACTCTCGCTTATTTTTGTTGATTCTCTTCTGCCTTTGTTGTGAACAGGGTCACGGGGGAATAATTGGCCAAAAAGGTGAAACTGGAACTCTTGGGTCCAAGGTAAAATCACAAAACATACTTCATATATTTGGGTTTAACTGGTTGGTTGATTAGATATGAGTGTTTTTTTTTTATGTAGATAATCAAATGTGTTTTTTTTTTAGGGTTCTACTGGGCCTCCTGGTCCAATGGGAGGACCTGGTCCCATGGTAAGTCCAGTTGTGCACACTATTTATTGTGCAAATGTTTGAAATTATTAATTCACTTCTCAATTAATAGGGTCCTGCTGGGATGCCAGGTGAGAGAGGACGCCCTGGACCCAGCGGTGTAGCTGTAGGTTTATACAATTAATCTTTCTCCTCCTAATGATGTCATTGTGGAAACTTTTGTTGCTTTAATTATGTTAACATAAATCAGAATCAAATCAGAATCAGATTCAGAATAAGCTTTATTATCATTGTACCGAGATACAACAAGAATATGTGACACAGACATGACCGTCCCTGCTTTTTAACGATTAGTTTTTGTTCGTCAGGGTAAACGAGGTATGCCTGGCAACATCGGAAAACCTGGCCCACTGGTAAGTCGACACCCTCTGTAGTTTTTGTGTTTCAGCTTCTTGAAATTTCACAAAATGTGTATCTAATGTATGTTTATGTTTGTAAGCTAATCTCGCTGTAAAATCTGCTTTGGATACGTTTCGTCATTGTTAATTATTAATTCTTAATACCGATAATAATTTTCTAAACCTGGCTTGGTATATATTAACTAACCCAAGCTGCAGAGTAGAAAATAGAGGAATGAAAAAAATATAGAAAGCTGAATGTTGTGGTGGATGGGTACTAACATCATTAGTGACTCCTATTTGTTATTTTACTTGGTCATGGTGAACTTCATTTAGTTATTTTGAGTTTAGAAGTAGCTAAAGGCTTCTGCACTGGTCTACAAAACACCATTAAGATGTTCCTAATGAGCTAACAGAAGATGGATCTAGGGATCAGGGCCTCACCTTTGGTCATCATGTATGGATCAAGACTAAGTGAACCCGATCCCGGATCCAAGCTGCTGATATAAGCTTCCTTTGCACGGTGAGGAGCTCCATCATCCCGATGAAGCTCGGTAGAGCTGCCAGTCCTCCTCATCCAAAGGATTCTGTTAATGTGGTTGAGGCATGTGAATAGGATAAGTCCTGGACATCTCCCTTAGGGGGGTTTGATGCTAGGAGGAGACATCAAGACAGACCCAGAACTCCTTTGAGAAATAATGAATCATCTTATGTCTGGGAGCATCTTGAGATCCACCAGGAGCAACTGGAGAGCAGGATATCTGGTTTTCTCTCCTGGATCTGTTGCCTCTGCAACATCAGATAAACAGAATGTGGACGGATTAATACGTGGTCCTCATTTCACACTCCAGTCCAATAGGTGGCGATAATCTGCTGGTTTATCAGTCGTATTAAAGAAAATATTTACGACAAAATATCTAAATAAAGAGTATGTGCATATCTTTGTTTTCAAAGTATGGTTGTTTTCGTCTGCACCTTAATGTTGTACCAGCAACCTTCCATTTTTATTTTGTACTTTTTAAATTTTATGTTTTTGGTACAATTTCATGATTTTTTTCTTTTCCCGTCTGTCAACAGGGGCCCCTAGGTCTTAATGGGCCACCTGGATATCCAGGAGCTCCGGGTATGAAGGTTAGCAACAAATCACATCCACTTTATTGTCTGTCCACTGAAAGCAATCAACCTCCTGATGTTTTTAATGGTTTAATGGTTTTATATATACAGTACTGTATGTATGTTTATCTATATCTATAGATAGCCAGACAGATATACAGATAGATATACAATATATATATATATATATATATATATATATATATATATATATATAT